CTCATTAGGTTTTTTTTGCTTCTCAAAAAAATTATGTAATATAGGAACTCTACACACAGTCTGAGCACTTCAACTGATGTCTGCCGATACACATCATGCTGTACTTGTTCCTACTCATTTTTAATTATGATATTTTCCTATCTGAGATTTTTTTGGGTCCTCTGAGATCCCTTATGGTACCATCTACTGTTAATTACATTTATTAATAAAACTATTTCATCTAAAATTGTGAGATTACTATTGACTGTTTTCTCCAGATCCAGAGAGTTATTTTTCAATCAAACTGAAAGAAAGATCACAAAATTCTTATCTATGGCTCTAGATGGTCTTCCTAAGTTCAAGTGACAAAAATCCCAGGGGAAAAAAAAAAATTCAAATTCATATTTCAGATAATTTAAAATATTTTATAAATAATAATTGATATAGACACATACGCACTTCAGCACCTACTCTCTTTCAGCAGAGTCTCCAGATAAAATATTGCTGCGAATCATAGCTTTTGTACTAGCGCATAGGGAGGAAAGCATCTCTCCTGGGTGCAGGTACTAAGCCAGAGGATTTGCGGATCACATACATACCTTAAAACTTCATTTGGAAGTCAAAGGCTAGACAACACTAGGAATATTAATGCTGACTAACATGAGTAGTTTTTTTTTTTTTTTTTTTTTAAAGAGTAAAATAGTTGGTGCTGGGGACCTGACATCCACACTATACCCATTTCAAGTGGTTTTATTTTGAACCAGCTCTAGCATGTCCTGTGGTCAGAATGCCCATTAGCAGCACATCAGAAGCAATTCCGGAGAACATCTACTGGTGTAGGTTCATCTGAAAGGAATCCATGCTCCAAAACTGCTCTACCAAGTGAGCCGAAGTGCAGAAAGGGGGAGATCACTTGAAAAGACACCAGCCTGAACTAAAATGAAAGTGTAAGTGCATCCAAGAAGGATACTGTTTACTGCCTTCTCCCTGGCTATACTTGATTGGGCTTCAGATCCTCACCACTAATTTTGGGAAAGGGGAGAAATTAAGAGTGTTTTGAACATTCATTTGCAAGTTTTCCAATTAATTTCACCTTTTGTCCATAATAGCAATTGTGCATGGAATTAATCGGGCACAATATGTGAATACTTCAGGGGAGTGAATTTAAGAGCAATTGAGACCAACTTGTATATCTAGGTTGAGCAAGGAGAGACTAAATTCTTACAGTTACACGTACAGCCAAACAGTTTGCAGAACTTGGAATAATCCTGATTAAGTGCACCTCCAGGTGTCATTTCTTCTTCATAAGAACCAACAAAATCCAGTGGTATCACTGGACTTTCTAGTGGTTAACGCTTGCTAATTCAAGTATAAGACCTGACTGTCAGTACTGCCCTTCAAAAAGGCAAAAAGTTTCCAAAATCAGCAAGAAAATAAGTAATGGTGTTCTAGCCAGCAACAATCGTTTGTTCTGTGCTTGTACAGTGCCTGGGGTAACGCAGTCCTGTTCCACAACCACTACTCCTAAGTGAGGATTTCTTGGTTTTCTATTGCGTCATCACAGTTATAAGTGTATCTCAACATGACAAAAACAAATACTGCCACGGATTTAAACTTTTCAAGCCCAACTGTCAAGTCATTAAAACAAACTGGGCAAAATCTTGACACCCTTTGGCAAGCAGACTACTACTGTCTTAGCTTTAAGGAAACTTCAACTCTCTATTTCTAGACCTCACAAGCAACTACAGTCACATATTGTAACCAAAAATACCTTCTGAATTCAGAAGCAAGTGCAACGTTTCTTGCTCACTGGATAAAGCTTGTGCTCATTATTACTAGTAATATTACGATTATTTCCGTAGCAGCTCTGCTCCCAGGCACGAACCACATTGCTCAAGGTGCTGTACAAAAGCCAAACAATAAAAGAAACCCCACAAATGCCCATTTCACTGTTACTTAGAACAGAAATACTACTACCACTCCTAATACCCAAACACAACGGCCAGCAAATGGTATATAGCCCATTATTTAGTTATGACTCTCTTTACAATGTTTTAACTCTTGGCACGCGCCCTTTTTAATAGATGACAAAGCCTGAGATTCCGTTATCGTCCATTAATGAATTTTTCCAAGAACAGAGTCAATAGCTGAAACAATAACATAATAAGCCTGAGGAAGGTTCGCATCTGCATGGGACTATTATGGTGTAGCTTTTGAATTACTATCAAAACTTCATGAATTTCCAGAGACTAGAAACTTCTGTATGAACACAGCAATAAAGAAGATATAAGATAGACCATCGTGGAATTCCTCAAAGATGCTAAACAGATTCATTATACGCCAATTAAAAATCTTCAAGGTGAAAATTTTCAACTAGCATTTACAATAAATAAGCAACAAATCTGTATCCAACAGCTACGGATCAACTGATTTTTGCAAGATGAGTATGTTCCTCGAGCAAAAGTTTCCACAAATTCTGAATCAACAGCAGTTGCCAAAGGAAGGGTTGGCTCACAAATTCCTCTCTTCTAATAACAAATAATTATTCCTTGCTTTGAAGAGTTTTAAGGATACAGGATTTTGGCCACAGAAAAAAAAGAAAATTAAGGTTTAATTAAACTTTGAATTACCCTAAATCAGTAAGTTCCTCACTGGAAAAATTCCAGAGTTTGTAAAATCCTTAGGTGAACTATGCTTTGGCTCCCCTTGATTTTTTGAAAAGGAACTTTTTGATACTACTCACAGAAAAGTAAAATGTTACTTGCAGTAACTTTGTCATTTAAAAATTTACAGATCTCCAAAGCTATTTATTTGCCAAGAGGATAAGTAAAAGGAATTGGGAATCCAATAGTCAGAAAAATAAAACAAATCATAAACATTATGAACTATTTATCCTCCTTTAATAAAGATAATATCAAACCCAGATACGATAATTTAAAAATATTTAGGCGACTGAATAAATGACTGTGCTACTTACCCAAGTTCATTTTGCCATTTCATTTCGGTACATGCGAGTTTCGGCTATAAGTCAGAATTGTTCAATTATTTTTTAAGTTGCAGTATCATTCATAATCCCTAGCTTCCAAGCGTGCGTGGGGAAAAGAATCAGCGCATACATCTTCTGTCTACTGGAAACAATTATAGATTCCTCCGCTGCTCCTCATCCACACAGAACGATAAGGACTGTTACAGCCTCAGACTACAGAACCTCATCTCTTATAAAATAAGCTGCCACTGCTCCAAAGTTGGGACATCTTTCATTTATTCAGTGAATGAATGCTCACCAGCAGAATACGCAAGATGCAGATGAGCCCCTCATAATAGAAGAGGATCATAACCTTGCAGTGTAAGCTAAACTTACTTGCAGTCCGTCTACATTAGCATCGTATGCAAATTACACAGGTTTCAGTTTTAAATTCAGAGACCTAAATGTAGGTCTCCACGTTTTGGTAACTACGTTCCTGTTACAGTTGACAGATTTAGGACTTAATTTCATTGCTTCAGCACGAACACCTAGTGCAATATGAGGTGCCTCAGGGTAACTAAGATATCTGTATGAGGTTGACAAACGTGACAAAGGACCTCCAAAAGACCCTTCTTTTTCGCACCATCAGCTAGAGGCCCTCAGAGATGTTTCAGGATATTTAAATTAGCACTGAGCACCTGTACTGGGCAACTGAATCACCTTCTTCGTCACTCCACTCAGTGGAACCTAGAATAGGATTTTGCTGACTGGTCATATGTCTACCCTGGGACAGGCTGAATTGCTCCCTAATAGCCATTGATCGCTGACTAGATTTCCGTCAAATACTACACAAACTTAAACATCTTGTGTGCTTGTAGACATTTATAGGCTGACACCTAAATTTAGATAGTGATCTTGAACCGAATTCTACACGTAACATTCTCACTGTGCCTCAATTTCTTCAACAACAAGAAAGGTGATATTTACTGAGTGTGCAGACATGTGGCTTCATTACCGAGCATGGCTAAAGCGCTTAAAGATTTACCACTGAAATTTCTAATCAGTGGATTTTTATGTTACCTTTAATTTAATAAAAATGATAGAATGACCAAAGACTGCAGAACAGGTGAAACGCTTGCATGTATTCACTCTTGGCAATACTTGTACGACCAAGGTTTATTTTCTGTTTTCATAAATTCTATAGGAGAAAGTGCCACAAAAACAAGATATCAGGTTAATGATCTCAGAGAGCTATAAGAACGTTTCAGAAACTCAAAAGTCTCAGGTGCCTTTTCAGTTCATGCTGGGAAGATGGAGATGCTCACAGACAGGGCACAGCAGCAAGACTCAGAGAGACAGACTGAACTCTTGACAGAATAACTTATGTGACCTTGGACAAAACATGCAGGAGTACACATTCAAAAAGGTTCGGACTCCTTGTTTTTCATTTGGATTTCAAGTGTAAACTTGGAAGGAAAGGAACGCTTCATTACTAGACATCACTTAATGGAGGATGCCGTTTAGGATAGGCCTGTAATACTGCTGCTTAAAAATGTAATTTACAGTTACCCATAAACTGTTACTGGTTTGAAAGTGTATTTTGAAATCATTTCCATTTACCTTTACTTGCTTCAGACTAGCAAGCATATTTAACATGGCTGTATGCTTTCCCCTGTCGTTTGAGATGCTTCACAAGGTAGAATGCCCTTGAAAGCAGGGCCTGGAATACCAATGCTTGCAGCTGTGAGAGACCAACCTTATCTCCTAACTGCAGCCCTGCACAGGACCTGCAGGTGAGAGATTTAATGGCAGGTCTGAGAAGTGGGGGGGGGGGGGGGAAGCATATTATCAAACAGCATACAGTCAGGCAGCAAATACAGAAGCAATGAATAGCAGATTTCTCATGCAGTTGCTATTTTATCCAAATATTTTAAGGTAGGTTAGAAGCGGGTATTTATTTTGCTGTATTTTCTTAAATACAGTCAGTCTCTTCTCCTGCTAATTTTCTTTCTCTA